TCCTGTCTCCAAGGCCCCTTTATCTCCCTAAAATCATCACTGCTCCTCTCAGTTTCCCAGCCCCCATTTCCTCCTACTAGGAAAAGAGTATTTAAGCTCTTCTGTGGCTTCTTCCTGATTTTGTGCCCCCTGCACACAGGTGCCTGGTAATGAATCCCCTGCCAGCTTTTCTCTTGTTAATTTGCCTGCTGCAGTTTAGTTTAGCAGCACTGGAACTCACAGAGGAAGTCAGGACCTCCTTGGGTCCTTAAGGTGACCATCAGAGGGGCTCAACTTCTGTTATGTTCCTTCCCCTCTCCATTGCTGTTTATTGTGGCTCCACCATAGAGACAGGAATAGGTGAACTCAGGGCTCTGACCCCACGATGGCTTGGAGAGGTGCTGGGTCCAGACCCAACCAGGAAGAAATCCCTTAATACCAAGTTCTCAAGTCTTCTTCCTGGCAGCACCTCCAGGGCCATAGCAGGGCAGGGGAGAACATACAAGGTCTTTTCAAAGACACGCATTCACTGAAGAAGCCGGCTTCTGGAGCAGTGTCCTTTTGATGTTACAAGCTCGGGCATGGTAACTATGCTCCAAAACCCTGAACTCTGAGGAGTGTGATGAGATGACCACCTATGCCTGAGCAAAAGAACCTGCTCCTCCTCTCGTCTACGCAAACACCTAACAGCCATGATTTCCCTGCCTGTGCCTGCCAGCAATGCTGCTGTCCCTTTTACAGACACCAGGGCAGAGAGGAGCCCTGGCTATGTGTTAGTTCAGTCCTTGCAGGCTAGACCTATCCCACAGCTAAGACTTCTCCAAATTAATATCTGAGCAGTAGCTTCTAGAGTCAGGAACTACAGTGTACTAATCTGAGGCTTGCCTATGTACTGTTGAAACAATGGTGGTGACACAGCTGTTCAGAACTTAGACCAACAACAGTGCTTCCTGATGGAAAACGATCTTTTCATTGACCTTGTTTAAAATTGCTAGGACTTGGCAAAAAGTGAAAAGATAAATTAATCTTTCATCAGTTTTAAATTCTCTGTAGATGAAACCCTCTGCTGGTATTACCCACATCTCCTGTGTCTTGCCTGAGCTGGCCTCAAGTTCCGCCACCATCCTGGTGGCCCGCAGAGGTCCTCCTCTGGGTCAGCCTAACCACCTGGTTCCCAAATACCTGCCTCACCTTTGGGACCTGCCCTTTGTGATACAGGGGGAAGAGATGTAACTCCTAGACCTACTAGATACCTGAAATGTGAGTTTGTGTTCTCTAAAATCAAAGAATGAATTCTAGGAACATCAGAGGTTAAGAGTAGGAAAGTTTTATTGAGAGAAAGATAGCTCTGACTAAGAGAGACAGAAGTGGGACTGGAAAAATGGGTTGTCCACCCACCTGGCTTTTCAAAGGTGTTTATGGGACAAAGCCATGAGGTGAGGTTGGTACAAAGTGGGTCAAAACTATAAGACCCAGTGGAAAATTACAAGGTGAGCATGAGGTAGAACAAAACCATGACCAACCAATAAGATATAAGTACAGTTGCCCAGGTAATATCAACTAAATGAAGTTCAAATGGGAAAATAAGTCATGTATAAGGAAGGTATTTATGCAAAGGGAATGAGCTAGGGAGAATGATGTCTATTTAGAATATCAGTCACTGCTATTCATCCCTAGGGGAAGTAGTACCTCTTTTTTCTATATAATGCTAACCAGTGAATGTGCTTTTGGTTTTTTTCTATGCTGAGGGCCCAGATTTGTCTAATTGTTTTGTAATAATTTCTAACCAACTTAGCTAGCTGCAATATTTGCTCCCCCAGAGGGTGGCCCATGGCCAGCCCTTCCCTGATACTCTTGGGCCTCCTCCCCGACATGATGATCACCACCCACACCTCTCTCCTGTGCAGACCATGGGCACAGGAGGTGCTCTGTGTGCACCATGGGAACTGGGACATGGGCAGGCTGCTTTGTAAATATCCTTCCTCAAACTTTAACCCTCAATGTAAGGAATGATCCACAAAATGGTTAATCTGCCCACGGATACCACAGATAGCCCAAATCAGACCATCCCCACTTTTGAGAACTCTCCACTCCTGCATGATGTGCTGTCTATAAGGCAATTTCAGTGTGTTCTGGGTGCACGGTGCGACTCCAGAGCAGAAGCAGGTGATCTGGGGCAGTGGTTCTGCATGTCCTGAGCTGTTTGGCCAAGACTGTTTCAGAACATCTGAAATGGCTGCCCTTTGAAGGCCTGAGAAAGGATTTTCTGGTCTCAGGGATACAGAGTCTTGTCATTTATGAATCGGTCCTTGGCAAGGTTTGATCAAGGTTCCTTAAGTTCTTGGTAAATCCCTCAGCCATAGCCCACCCAGGAAAAGCAAGTTCTCCGGCTTCACTGAGCCCTGTGTGACCTCTGCCACCTTCTTTAAGGCTGGGAGATCAGAGTTGGGGAAGGGTAGGGGCTAGAAGTGAGAAGACAGGTATTTCCAGCAGGAGGAAAGGCTGCACTGGGACTCCACAGGCAGTGCGTGGGGAGTGTGACACATGGGCTGCTGGGTTGGGCAGAGCTTGGTGACATACGCCATGCAGTCACCCCTGGCCAGCTGCTTTCTCCCTGATTCCAGAGGGAGAGGGAAGCTCAATCTCACTGTGGTTGATGTGAGATCAAGAAGTATCCAGCTCCCCATATTGAGGATATATTCCTAAGTGAAATAAATAAGTCACACATGAGTAAATACCGAATAGTTTCTCTGGTGTGAAAAACCATAATAGTACATATGATCCTAGTGAGATAACTGACAATGTGAAATAGGAAGAAAAGGGCTAAAGGTGTAGGGAAAGTGGGAAGGGTAGGGGAAAGGTAATAAGGGAAAAGAAAAAAATATGAGAAAATGAAAAAATGGAAATAAAGTGTTTATAAATGGGGAGGGGAGGAGGGGGTGAAAGGAGGGCAGGGACAAGGGGAAAAATGAGAACGAAGACCTGTCATGTAAAGGTACAAGATCCCAGTAATGAATGTAATTGTACTGTATACCTAAAATGTACCAATAAACTCAATAAAAGAAAAAAAAAAGACGTATCCGGCTCCTTATTTACAGATGCAGGAGAAAAGTGATTGGCTGACCTCTGGCAAACAACAATAAAGGGAAAACCAAGATCCCCAGTGCCGGCCTTTCTTATTGCATGTGTTTTACAGACACTTTCCAGGTTAGTGGATGAATACAAAAGCTTACTTGCTTCTAGTTTATTGTTTCTTTTTCTTTCACATGTCAAGTGAAAAGTAGTGGATTTGAAAGATCCTATGCAGAAGATGAAGAACAAACAGCTGGAGAGAATAGTAAAGATCTGGAGGCAGAGGGGCTCACAAGCAGAAGCCATCATTCCATCTGTCCCCTGAAGCACCCACAATGCGGTTATTGGGGACTGCTGTAGGGTGGTGGGTTCCCTGAGATATTGGTGCTGGGCCGCACAGGCAGTGCCTAGACCAGAAGAAAGGCCAAGTAGACCCCAGCTCATGTTGCAACCCAAGGCCACAGCTAGTGGATTTATTTCATAGATATCAAGAAGTCACTTACCTGCAGATAGTCGAGGGGGTGATCAGTACTGACCTCCACCAAGCCCCAAGGCACAGGCAACTACGGTGGCCTGGAGCCAGGGACATCAGCCTTCCCAGGTTGCCTTGAATCTTGCTACTTTCCCTACTCTGAGGGTGAACTGAGAGTCATGAGGTTATGAGGAGAGGGGCCAGAGGCTCTGAGCCTTGAGCAGTCGCCGCCCAGCTCTTAGCAACAAAAGCACAAGTCCTGAAATCCTTTTATGCCCCTATTTCCTAAGCTCACCCCACTCAATGTCAAAGACAGTCTGATCTGCAGTCTCAACATCTCTCAGATCTCCCATCCCCAGTCCAAAGCCAGGTTGCCCCTTGTGGAGTTGGAAACCAGCAACTGCCTGCTGAGTCCCCAGGCAGTGCCAGATCTGCTGACTGCTCACAACACACAGCTCTAGCATCTGCCCCTCAGTTTTGCCTCATGTATGTCAAAGTGCCTCATCATTTGGACTCACAGGGTCCACCTTCCTCTGCATCCTCTCTCCTATCCCCCAGGCTCCACATCGAAAACCCTTCGTCCATGCTGTTGAATGTTCTCCCATTTACCTCTTAGCTATTTCTCCTTTAGATCCTAGCTTCAGTGCCTGTCTCATCCAGAGACTTTCCAAACTGCCTACCCCCATCAAATCACAGCACCCTGAACTCAACCTTGGGTTGGCTGCAGCGAAGCAGATCATTGCTGTGGCTGTTCAAATTTGTCCATCCTAAAAGACTTCAAGGATCCCAAAGATGAGATTCCTCCCTGGAATCCAGGGCCTAACCCAGCACAAAGGAGGAACAGATATTGTCAGGTTGACAGGTGGATAGGCGGACAAGTAGATGGATAGGTATGTGGATGGATGGATGGATGGATGGATGGATGGATGGGTAAGTGGACCCCAGTCCAGATCTCCAATCTCTGTGTCTCATCCCTGTTTTGAACTCTGAGCTATCGGAAAAGGCACACAAGCTCGTAGCCATGAGAACCAGAAACATTTTTGTTTTCTTTTGTTTCTGGTCCTTTCTTATGACCCTGCCACTTCACCATGCAATTATTTGTATGATGAGACCCTAAAAACTGCCAAATTTCATTCAATTTGGTTAAATGTTCTTGAGGAGGTTGGCATTGTGTTAGAATCTCATACATTCCCACGGCCCAGATCCTATTTAAAAACTGCCTATCTATTTAAAGTTCATCATGGGGGCACTGAAAGAAAAAGGACTCCCAAAGCCAAAGCCAGCGGGGAACATGAGATAGGGGAAGGAAAAATCCAGCTTGCTTCTAAAAAAGGCTGAAAATTATAACCATCCACACCCTTGTGTCTCAAGCCTCAGAGTTTTTTTTTTTTTTTTTTCTTTCTTTTTTCCTCTTTGGTTGTTTGCAAACCAGAGTGGAATTTTGTGAAGGGTTACTGAGGGATTCCATTCAGTTCCTGAAGACTCTGCCTGCTCTCTAGGCTGCCACTTCATTTCCTCAGTCCAAATCAAGCAGCTGGCATATCTCTCTGAGCTGTGCTTGCCGTCCCAGATCACAGCTTTTCCACAGCTTGGGCCAGAGACCCTGCTCCATGATCTGGCCCCTTTTAGGAACAACAGAGTCCATGAAAGCGGCAGGCATTGGAAAGCTATTCACTGCAGGAAGCCACGGCATCCGGTGAGAAACAAGAAGTAGGAGGCACAGGATGCGCCTTGGGTCAGGGCGGCGCGAGCAGCAGCAGACTCCGTGTTAGAGCTGCTGGGGCGCGCCCCCGGGAGCACAGCTGGGAGCTGGGGTCCAGGCTCCTGTCGTCACTGCAGTCACTGTGGGGCTTCTGGCCTCCTGCGAGGGGGACTCAGAGGCAGAATGGCCAGCCCCAGGGACCTGCTTCTTCTGCTACTCCTGGGCCAGCCCTGGGCGGGGGCTGCCACCCACACCACAGAGGCTGACGCAGTGGAGGCTGTGGTGTGTGGAGGGACCGCCTGCTACACAGCCCACTGGGGCAGGCTGAGCGCGGCCGAAGCCCAGGGCCTCTGTAGCCAGAATGGGGGCAACCTGGCCACGGTGAAGAGCGAGGAGGAGGCCCGATTTATTCAGCGCGCCTTGGCTCAGCTCCTGAAGTCGAGGGCACCCCTGGCAGCGAGGATGGGCAAGTTCTGGGTGGGGCTCCAGAGGGAGAAGGGCAAGTGCTTGGACCCTGAGCTGCCACTGAAAGGCTTTAGCTGGGTGGGTGGTGGGGAGGACACAGAGTATGCAAACTGGCACAGAGAAATGAAGAGCTCCTGCGTCTCCAGGCGCTGTGTGGGCCTGCTACTGGACCTGTCCCAGACCCCCCACCCAGACCGCCTCCCCAAGTGGTCTGAGGGTCCCTGCGGATCCTTAGGCAACCCAGGAAGCAACACTGAGGGGTTTGTGTGCAAGTTCAGCTTCAAAGGCATGTGCCAGCCCCTGGCCCTTGGGGGCCCAGGCCAGGTGAACTACAGCACCCCTTTCAGAGCCACCGCCTCCTCACTGGATGCTGTGCCCTTTGGTTCTTTGGCCAGTGTGGCCTGCGAAGCCGGGGCTGAGAATCAGGGCTATGAACTGCTGTGCAGGGAGAAGGTGACTGAGGTGTTCGACTGGGGCATCAGTGGACCCCTGTGCATCAACCCTGAGTTGGGGTGCACCTTCAACAACGGGGGCTGTGAACAGGACTGCTTCGAGGGGGGTGCTGGCTCCTTCCGCTGTGGCTGCCCGCCTGGCTTCCGGCTGCGGGACGACCTGGTGTCCTGCATCTCTAGAAACCCGTGCAGCTCTAGCCCCTGCAAGGGGAAGGCCACCTGCATCTCCAGGCCCTATGAGGACAGCTACACGTGCCACTGCCCCCGTGGCTACCAGCTGAATGCAAGCCAGCAGGGCTGTGTAGACGTGGACGAGTGCCAGGATACACCTTGTGCCCAGGACTGTGTCAATACAGCTGGGGGCTTCCTCTGTGAGTGCTGGCCGGGCTACATGCCTGGTGGCCCTGGGGAGGAGGCCTGTGTAGATGTGGATGAGTGTGCTCTCGACCCTGCACCCTGTGCCCAGAGCTGTACTAATACTGCTGGCTCCTTCTATTGCTCCTGCCAGCCTGGCTATGTCCTGTCTGGGGAGGATGCCACCCAGTGTGAGGACAAGGATGAGTGTGCAGACCCCATGGGCAGCCCCTGCCCAGGCCTGTGCTCCAACGTGCAGGGCTCCTTCCACTGTGGCTGCCTGGTAGGCTCACAGCTGGCCCCCGATGGGCTCTCCTGTGTCCAAGACCCTGTGTCCACAGTGTCCTTGGCTGGGCTTCTGCCGGAGGACCAGCAAGATGGCAAGAAGGGAGGCATGGTGCTTCCCACCACCATATCTCCCACCATACCCGATACAGCCAGGGGCTCCGAGAGTTTCTCCACAGGGACACTCTCCACCGGAAGGTCCTCCTTGACCTCAGATATCCCCACCACCTCTGCCCACCCTGAAGTGTCATCTCCTAAAGGGAGTCCTGGCCTTGAGACAAGGCAGGGCACCCCCCTGTCCAAAGCTGCTGCTGGCCATAGCAAGCCAATGGAAGAGGACTCTGTGGCTGCTCCAAGCGAGGATGGTGAGGACGGGCAGAGGCTGCTGCTATTCTACATCCTTGGCACGGTGGTGGCCATCTCCCTCCTGCTGGCCCTGGCCCTGGGGCTCCTGGTCTGTCGCAAGCGAAGAGCCAAGCGGGAAATGAAGGAGAAGAAGCCGCAGAATGCAGCCGACAGTTACGCCTGGGTCCCTGAGCCGGCCGAGAGCCAAGAGAATCAGTACAGGTGAGGGGACCGAGGGTGCAGGGGTGGCGGGGCAGATGCTGACTGGGAGGCAGAGGCAGGAGAGACACTGCTGTACCCAGCAGAGTGGATGTCTGTGGCATGGGGCACAGTGAGTGTGGGGTCCAGGGTCAGGATGTAGACAGGACAAGGCACTGTCGACACTGTCTGTCACCTTTTGTTTCCATAGTCCGACACCTGGGTCAGACTGCTGAAAGGGAAGTGGCCCGGGACAAGTTCAGTCAGCTGCCACCATGCCACCACCCTCGGAGCACAGGGGAAGTCACACCCTCTGAAGCCTGGACTGGAACCTTAGCACACGTTGGCATGCTTTCCCCTTAAGGGCCCTCAACTTGGGATGCAAAAGGTATTTTCTCCATGTGGGTGATATTTTTTGCAATGGAATCCGTGTGTTCCCACCACTGTGGGGACTTTGTGAACACTAAGGGTTCCCACGAGCTTCCTCTTTTCAAATTTAAATGCAGCTGACTTCCTTTCTTCCCTGGTTCTGGTCAGGCCAGGACTCAGTGCCAAGGGATCCTTTTGTGCCCTGCCCTTTCCTCTCCTTTAGTGTGGAATGCAGCGGCTGGTGCTGTTAGCATTGATGGGTTTGTGCCTCTCCAGCTGGGTCCTTTGATGATCTGACTGTATGAGAAGCTCTGTGCTGCCAAAGGAACTTGCTCAGACTGGAACCATCTCTCCCCATCTGGATCTGCGCTTCCCTGCTCAGCCTCTTGCTGCTGCGGAAGCCTTCAGAATGGCAGGAAGTAGGATCACCGGGAAGTATAGACCCACATCCTCTGGTTCTTAAGTTTCCTGCTGTCTTGGGTTTATTTGCAAGTGAAGTTGGAAAAATATGAGAAAAATTGCTTGAAGGAGTGGAGGGCTTTGGTGTAGGCATAAGACCTAAGGGCTGGGCAGGGCTTGCTTCATCTGCACAGATGAAGGTGAACATGCTGAACATGCTCAAAGAGCCTGGGCAACTCTGGCCACATCCCCATGTGGCCCTGCTGTGGCTTCCGCTGCTCCTCCAGATCAAGGGTGGTTGAGGGGATGGCAGGAGGGTCTGGGAAACTGTGCTGTTAAAGCATTTCAGCACCGGTCACAGGAGAACTTGTATCTGTTGGGGCTCAATCCTATAGGATGCTCAGGGTCCCCCTTTTCTCTCTTCGCCTTAGTTAGCCATTGGGAAGGGAAGGGAGAGGGGAAGAGAGAATAATTAACACCTTTTGTAACACTTTCTCTGCTTGAGGACATTGTACCTGACACACATGTTTACAAAGATCTCTGCTTGGGTATAGCGCTCTCCGCCTCAGTTCACCTTGACTGGAAAGCCCCTGAGAAGTTGCCTGAGCAAGGCTGGAGCCCCTTCAGGCCCTTGCTATGAGAGGAAGGCACAGGTTTCCTCCAAGACTTCCAGATCTGGGCTCCAAGCCATGCCCCCTGCAGTTCCTGTTTTACATGTGTCTCTCCCCAGAGTTGCCACCCTGGGGCTGGGGTGGACAGTGACCACTGGGACGTAGCTTTCAGAACTAAGTTAACATCCTTTGTCAGTGCTGAAATGTGGGAAGTCCAAACTGAGGGAGACACAGGCAAGATGGGGGCCGCGCAAGCTTAGTGGGTGCTGGCAACTTCTGCTTTTTAGTCATCTCATGCCCTCCAGGTTTCAGTTGGAATTCTGGTTTTTATCTTTTTAAACTTTAACTAAAAAATTTTTGATGATATTTGGGGTTAAACCCAGGACCTTTTTATTGAGTTTTTTTTTTTTGTTTGTTTGTTTTTTTTGTCTGAGACAGGGTCTCATTAAGTCACTAAGTTTCCCAGGCTGGGCTTAAATTTGCCATCCTCCTGCCTCAGCCTCCCTCAGCCTCCCAGAATGCTGGAATCACAGGCTGGTTTTTAACTCTCCAGGGACTCAAGGCTTATCCATTTGTCAAGAAACTCTATGGCCCAGGACTCTTGGCAATTTATTGAGACTGGCTGTCTTTTGCACATAAACCATCAGTGACCATTGAGAGATTTTAAAGACATGCGCTTGAGAGAAATACATGTGAGCATGACACTTATGTCCCCGGGCCTCCACGCTTCTGCCCTGGCACTTGGGGTGGAGGAGGTCCTCTTCCTGTGAGCTGTGCACACTCTGCACTGACCCCGTGGGGGTCACTTGCAGGTCCTCTTTACGTCTCACACTGCCCAGCCCTTTTTTGTGGTCTCTGTATTCAAATTCTCCTGTTGGTAGCAACATGTGGCTTCATCCCTAGGATGCCCTGACCTCAGCATGGGGGAGCTTAGGGGATGAGGACAAATAAGGAAGGCAGTTCCCAGAGTCCTCACTGATGACTGCAGCCACTTCCTTGTGGCAAGTGGTGCTTTTTCCATTCCTGTGACAAGCCAGCATCTGAGGTCTGGCCTCCCTCAGACAGTGAATCCTATTGAAACCACTAGCCTCAAAGGCTTTCTTCCTTCTCCCATTTATTTCTGCTGCCACCAGCTTGAGATGTGAGGATCTTGATTTGGGGGCTCAGAGGTCCCAGCAGGGGAGATACTCACTAGCCAGGTGGCCATCAACAAACCTCACTTTCCCTGAGGGTTCCCGGTGGCTCAGTAACAGCTCACAGTGGCAGAATGAGTGGCCCATGGGGACAGGAAAGGCATGCATCACAGTTCACAGCAGTGTCACCTGTGTGAGTCCTGTGGGGCTGGGGCTGAGCACAGGGAGCTGGGCTGTCCCCCACTGCCTGCCAGGCAAGGCCTATGGCTTGGTGACCGAGCCACTTGTCTCCCCGAAGTTCCTCCTGTTGCCTTTCCCTATCGCACAGGCAAAATTGTGGAGTAAAATGTGAACCACACCCAAGTGCTGCTGTGTACACTCTGTGTGTGGTGAGCCACGCCACGATTGAATTTCTTCCCTCTCAAAGTCACTGTACTGTCGCTTTCCTTCCTAAGCATCAGGCTTTGGCCAGGGCAGTTTTCACCAAACAGCCTTTCAGCTGATGGACGAAATCACCAGGTACTTCTTTCCACACCTCTTTGTCTATAAATATTTCTGGGGAAACTAAGAGAACAGATGAAATTTAAAAACAAAAAAAGTTACCAAATTCAAAATAGCTCAGTTTTAAAAAATGCAAATAAAGGAAAGCCTTTCCTATTATTCTTCTTAGCTTCTCCATTGTCTAAGTTGGGAAAACAGGAAAACCCTGCTTTCTAGCACCCGTTGAATGGTTTCATGGCTCTGCATATTTCCATCACCTTGAACAATAGTTCAGCATGGGAATCCAAACATGATCCCTGAAAACAGCTGTCCCTCGGCTCCAAAACACATGCCTAAATCAGCCTGGTCTGTGGAGCTGGTCAATCAGACAAAGAGAGCGATGATCCAAAGTCTCCAAGTCTTCAGTAATCAAAGACCCCATTCACTCCAATTTCCCAAGACAGACACTCACAGAAGGGATGGTTTAAAACGAGGTGTGCCCTGCCCTGCCCTGGAGAGTGCTGGCTCCCTCCTGCCACCCATCTGGGACATGGTGATTCATGGTCCTTTTCAGATTTGCTGAGGGTCTGCACATTGGGCTTCAGTGTGAATTAGATGACAGCCAAGGTTTGTTCTGTGATGGGGCATGAGAATGTGTTTGTAGTCGCTTTCTGAACTCTAAATGAGAATGTAAATGTTAAAAAATATGTGTATTTGAAGTGTGATTGGCTAATTCTGGACTTGCAGGGTTTTTGAGCAGCACTGGTTTGCTTTCTGGGTAAACATCTCCTAGGCCATGGTGTGGGCGGAGGGGGCCAGTGCGTGGCTCCAACCAAAGGTCCTGTGAAGTGCGGCTATTTCACCTGGAGCTTTCTACTATTCATCTATGCTAATAAACTCCAAAACTCATTTGTTAGGAGCTTGTTTTTACACAATGCCTGACACCTCAAAACATATGGCTAACTTGTTCCACAAATATTAAACATCTGTTTCCCATTCCCAAGAGTTACCTTGATGGCCGCCTCTCTGCACCTTCACCCATTGGCAGTGACACAAGTGTGGGCTGTGCTCTCTACCTGGCACACTGTCCTCAGGGTTCAGGGTGACTGCTTCCAAGGAGGCAGAGACCTGGCCTGCCCCAGGGCTTCCGGATTCAGCACCACCATCTGGCGGCCACTCCCCCATTCCTCCCTCCTTTCATTGCCCTTAATTCCCTGCATCTTTTTAATTGCATGGCAGCCACCGGGGTGCAGGATTAAGCTGTGTGATGGGTGTGATGTGGAAACACCGCTCCATAATTATCACAGGGCATTTATCACTGCTTTGTCAGCAGAGCTTGCTCCGTTTGTTTAACTAATTGGACCGGCAGCCTGGCTCTGCTGCTCGGCTGCACAAATCTCCCTGTGATGCAAGCTGGGGACAGCAGATGGTGACGATGCCAGCCGCCTGCTCTGTGGATCGTGTGCATGGTAAAGAGCAGGGCTTAGGAGGGATGAGGCACTGCTGTTCCGCTAATGCCTTGGACACTCTTGGCAGCTGTTGTTATCCAGTGCTGAGCAGAACCAGTCCCCAGCAGCGATTTTCCATGCTAAGAGAATCCCTCCGTGATTTGCTCAGCATGGCCGGGCTTGCCCAGTCCCATTGTCACAGGGGAGGGCCAGGTGCTGACAAGACATGCTGGGAACATGTGCCTCCCGTGGACACTATGGCTGCACACACAAATGTGCTTCCACAAGCACACACAACACACACAGATGTGCTTTTCCAAACACACACTCATAAGCACAAACATGCTTCCACAAACATGTACAGCACACAAACGCAAAAGTACATTTACAAACACACACACATACACAAACACAGATGTGTTTCTACAAACACACACGACACACATACACAATGCCCACACAAATGCAAAGTTGCCTTCACATGTACACACACACACCCAGACACATACAACACACATACATAAATGTTCTTCCACAAACACAACACATACACAAATACAAATGTAGTTCTACAAACACACAATGCATACACACAAACACACATCCAGAAACACAAACACACACAACAGTCACATACAGACACACAAGTAAAAAACACATTGACACACACCCCAAATCAGATATAACAACACACATAAAACATATTCATAAACATCCACAAATACACATAAACTCACAGACATGAATCCCCATCACAAAGGCACATGCACACAGACACAATTCTAATGTCTGTATTGTACTGCAAAGCCTCAGCCCAGTGTCTCCTGGTTTAGGAAAAGCCCATTTACCAGAGTGTCGCCTTTCAGGTGAGTCGCCTTGACTGATTCACATGCTGTCTCCTAAGCAGCGATTCTCCATGCTAAAAGAATCCTTCTGTGATCTGCTCAGCATGGCTGAGCTTGCCAGTCCCATTGTCACAAGGGCAAGGCACATCTGTATGTGAGCATCACACGGGGGACACGGGCACACATCATACACGCACTGCGGCTAGTGATAGGTCCCAGTGAGCACAGCCGGTTTCTCAGCCCTGAAAAGATTAAGCAAGAGTACAGAGAGAGCAGCAGAGAAAGCAAATCCCAATCAAAGACGCCTCAGAACAGCCTCTCCCTGAATCATACATCGACACCACAGCATAAGTGATGGGTGGGGTAGGATGGCACTCACACAACTTAATCTCAGCATTACACACTCTAGGTCCAGCCACCTCTGAAAAATGCCCACCTATGACTGTATGAGGCTTTTGGGACACATCTAGACACAAGCCATAACATTCCACCCTCAGCCCCACAAAAACTCATGCACATCCCTTTAAGCAAAAGGCATTTAGTCCATCTCCAAGACTTGTCAAAGTCCTAACAGTTTCGGCACTGCTGAAAAGTCCAAGTCCAAAGTCTCCTCTGTCATTTAAGGGCAACTCAGCTGTCAGCCCCTGCACAAATGAAAGGAAAGTTAAACACTTCCAACATTCAATGGCACAAGACAGATACTACCATTCCAAAATAGGAGAATACAAAGGAATGGGATCAAAAAAAAGTCCAAAATTTAGCAAGGGAAACATTAAGTCCAATAGTTCCATGTCCAGCATCCAAGGCAATCTGTGGCAAGATGTGAACTCCAAAGGGCTTGGGTGGGTCAGCCCCTATTATATTCTGGTGGTGGTAGCACCCATGGCTTCTCTTTGGGGCTGGCTCTGCTCCCTCCTTGAAGTTTTCCTCAGAAGATCCACATTCCTGG